CGTGCCATTATCAAATCGTTACTTGGTTGCGCCTCGATCATTAGTAGGCGTCCCGGTTGCGCCGGAGAAAAATGGCTTCATAACTCCTCCCACAAAACCGTAGAAACTAGCGAAAGTAGTTTCGAGATTGCCTAGAAAAGGCTTCCTAGTATAGAGCTTATTCCAATAGGCCACTTCGACCGATCATCCTTCCCTTATTAGTCAAACACTACACTACAGTGAGGTCATATCAAATGACTATATGCCACAGTTCTGGTGCTTTGCGTAAATGAGAAAATTTCACTTCTTAGTTAAAACATTCAAATCATGTCTGCATGGTGCTTGAAAAGGAAAAGGCCTTAATGAACTAACTTCTTATCACTCTTAAACTCGACCATCCCACTTGTCATTTTACAGCTTGTTGAAAAAAACATAAACACCCCTCCGACGATAGCAGTCGGCCAATTATAAATCACAAAATTTGGCCAATCATCAGCAGAGGTGCGATGGAAGAGCATGGCCCCTAAAGTGAAGGTGGACCCAACTACCACAATCCGCCAAAAGTGAAGAATAGTGGAGGGCATCCGCTGCCCAAAAATGATAACGGGGGGAGGGGGGAAGAAAGGCATTGTCGACTTCTTTTCTTGCAAAACTTTGTAAACTTTGTGGAGAAACATTGGTCGATGCCTTTTCTCGCAAAACTTCGGGAACTTTTTCACTGATTGAAAAGGAGTAAGAAAAACAAATGCAAACAGATTTATGAAAGCCGCACTTCACTTCTAGGAAGTCGTCATCACCTGCCGCGAGCACCCGAAGGTCATCACGGATATAGACGACGCGTATACCTCAGCACTTCCTGTTTTGGATAACAAAGCTTCTTGACGACTTGGATTGTTACAAAAGCTATAACTCAACGGCTGTATAGGGCTGACTATTTTAATTCAACGTCCTCTTTATGATAGCAATGAATAGAACTTCATAAATGTTTCAAATAAAGTGTTTGTGTATGGAAGTGAACTCAGTGCGAGTTTACGGATTTTATTGAGTAAACTCTGTTAAAACAAAATATGAACAAAGTGTCGACTGAGCAAGTAACCATCGAAGCCGCGATGTCGAATGATGAAATCGCGGAAAATCAGATGCAACTGCAACTTTTATAATTCGCATGCAGCTATCAAGTGCGACTTTAAGTTCAAAAAGGTAACTCTTAATATACCAGATAGCGGGATAGGCAGCTCGACAGTGTTGATAGCCGAGAATCAGGATTTTCAAGAGAAAAATAGGCCATTCTCGATTGCTTGAACTTACCCTTCAATTTATGAAGTTGCTGAGACCTCCATACATCTGAAATATAAAAGTAGCAATTTCACCTTCGGCGAATTCGTCATTCAAAATTCTGGTTTTAGTGGTTACTCCCTAGATACGTCTACTTTTTTTTTTACAATTCTGAGAACAAAGTTTACCTAATGGAATCCGTGAATGGTGAATGTGCGGTGAAGAATGGTAACCGTTACTGCAAGCTATTTGGGTAGCCAGTCTTCGTGATTCACTTCGCTCCTCTTCTCCGTTGCACATCTGCATCGCGGTTCTAAACATGTTACCAATGACAGCACGCTTCACGGAAGCAGGAAGTGCAGATTTTACATTGAAGAGGATATTTTTGCAGCTTTCCTTGCGATACCATTTGACTCTTACAATGCCAGCGGTCACCTTTACTTGAGCGTTGAGATAAGGCAGCCATCCATCGCGAGGTATCTCACGTGTGAGCTTGATGTACTGTGACTGCTGGTTAAGAATTTTGAAACAATCGTCCATCTCGGGCTGCGTTGAAGTTGCAACACAGCAATCATCGATGTAGCGACAGTACATCAGTGGCATACGTGCTAGAATTGGCTCTCCAATTTTGTTCATAAAGCATATGGCGAGAATTGGTGCTAGCTTTTGGCCCATAACTAATCCACGTATCTGGGAGTAATAAGTCCCAGACCATCTGAAAATGGTACATTTTGAACATTCTTTCACTAGGGCCATCGTATGCGCTTTGCTAAGTCGAAACATGTTCATTGTATCAGCATACTTATCTAACATTTCCGGTAACGCTTGCAAAGCCTGGTCATTTTGCACATTAGTGTAAAGAGACGTTAAAACGACTCAATTACCGTTCTCGAATCAAACTTAGCGTTTCGAAGCTGTTCCACGAACTCGCGTGCATTGGATAAGTGTGCTGGTACTTTCGTTAACAGCTGGCTCACGATCTTATTTAGGTACCATGAAATCCTATCGGTGGGGAGGCCCACGCAACTAATAATTGTCTAATTTTGTGAGTTGCCGCTGACATTGAGTTTATTTCGTGCTCGGAAAGCTTGTGGGTCTTCAAAAGGCTGTAAAAAATTGGACAGCACGGATTTGTCACTTTCAAGCTGCTTATGAGACTATCAACAAGTCCGGCAGAATTGGCAATCGTAGTCCATGCGTCACTAAGTTTTTTACATTGGGCTCGATATTCTTTTTCAGAGACCACTGCATACGTTGTAGCGTCTGCGAGATGGGCTGCAGTTATTTATTTAACGGAGAAGAGGAGCGAAGCGAATCACGAAGACTGGCTACCCAAATAGCTTGCAGTAACGGTTACCATTCTTCACCGCACATTCATCATCGAAGAAATGGCAACAACATTCTGACTGGTAACAAACTTCCACTTTGCTCGCCATTCATTTCTGATAAGACCAGCGCAGCCATACAGAAATGCATCGTTCGTGCGCAGCTGCAAGATGATATTATGTTAGTGAACATTCCCAACGATAATATCAAAAAACAGCTCGTACGTAACAGGCTCTATGATCAATACTGCAATACGGAGCAATGCGTGATATGCCCGCACGGCAGAATGGGTGACTGTCCTAAGGTGGGAGTAGTGTATCAGCTTGAATGTTTGAAATGTAATGCACGCTATATTGGGGAAACAGGAAGAACACTCGGCGTTCGCATCAAAGAGCATTTGTCAGACAAAAGGCGCAAGAAGTTGGCTTCGCCGCTTGGCAGACACTTTGATATCAAAGTTACAATTCTAACACTTGAAAAAGAGATCTCGGCTAGAAAAGCCTTGGAATCGTCCTGGGTTTCTGCAAAGTCCAGAAATGAGCAACAAAAACGAGTGTTTATCCATAACCGCTGATTTTCTTAAGTTTTTATCATTATGTGAGCTACATATAACTGTTTATGTGACAACCCTCAGTATAGCTCAGTCGTCCGTCGCGAACATCTCGTCCGGTACGGACATCTAACGAAGCGGTGGTTCCCTGGTATGTCTTTTGTCATCACAATTCTTGTAGCACTAGATTGGGGGAAGATCCGAGAACTGCCAAGGGCTGGTGGAGATGTTTGATGGGTTGGAGTTACGGATGAAGCTTTGAACCATTCCAGACCTCTGATGACGAAAGCGTCGAAACGTAAGGCCGAAAAGCACTAACAATAAAAGGACCACCTAACAACCTGTTCGGCACAACAATATTCGACACTTATGTATACACTGTTTGATCGTTAATATCTCTTTTCCCAAGAAGTCTTTTGCCTTGCTTCAGGTACCATTTTGTAGAGCTTGCTTCAACTTAGATTTCAGTTTGGAGTGAATCACCCATCTCGCTGTTGCAAAAGCAAGATGGCCCTCTTGTAGAGCTTGTTTTGCCTTATCGAATGGTACTTTGCAACTTATTTAGAAGTGAGAAGTGTATGACTTATTGCGGTTGAAATTCAAAACGGTCATTGTTTCCGGACAACTTAATAATTTGGAACCTTGAGGGCATTTACATGCAGAAGATATACTTCTTTATGAGAAGAAGACTGCAAGCAAACATTGATCACACTAATATAAAGGCCGGGATTTTGGATTTTTAGTCAGTGTGAAACATGGGAAGCATTTATTCTCGAGAAGATCATGGGAGAAACTATGGTCTCGTTTGTCGCCAAGAGATAGGAAATTTTTAGGGCAAAGTATTCTCCAAAAACTTCTTTTCTATAAAACTTAATCAAGAATCAAATTTATTAAGTTGGGGAGATACTGCGAAGGTGAAGAAGAAATGCGCTAGTCCGGTGGATATCGCGATCACATGAAGGAATGACGGTCATAAACAGCATACTGATTGTTCCCACAATGGAAGTTTCAGCCAAAATTCAAATCTCTCTTTTACCTTCACATATGAGGTCGACAAGGAAGCTTGCTGTTTGAAATGGGTATCATTTCCATAATCAGCATGTCAAATTACCTCTATGCGCTCTACAAACCATTACCTACTGCAGTTTCTAGCGTCTTCAACGTCTAAAAAGCGTGATTTTCAAACATGATCAACTTGGTTTCAGAAGTGAGAAAAGTCAGCTTTTGTATACTCATAACAAAGTAATGTTCTCTACAAGTCTATGCTATAAATCGAACTTCATATCGCTTCCAAACAGTGAAGTAAGAAGTGCTGCCAAAATTCCAACTGGCGCGTTTTCCACGTTGAGTGCTTCAACTTCTCGGATTAGCACAAGGCCGAAACAAGTCGAATCAAGCTCAAACACTTACTGTGGAATCTTCGAGGGTTGAGCTAGCGATTCACGTAAAACTCGGGTAGAAAAGCTTCTTCGGAAATAAAGTTAATGGGGTCAGGCGCAACCCCACAAAAGGTCAGGCCGCCTGAGCTTTTGAGAGGTTGCGCCTGACCCGATTAACTTATCTTCAAAAAACTCAAAACATTCCACTTTTCCACTCAAACTTTTGGTTCATCCTTCCTCTCCCCACAGCCAAAATTTTATCCAATTTCGTTACCCCTCGAAAAAGTTATCAGTGGTTAATGCTACCTATGTGCCCGAAGACGATCGTCGTTTTTTGCCCGTTAATTTCGTCTACTGTAATACGCATCCCGTGCAATGTCTCTGCACGGGATTGAACGCGCCAAAATTCGTTTTTCGTTCCATCGTTCCGTCCCTCTCACCAACCGTCACCAAGGTTTTTTTGTTCCTTTCCTATTTTACTTCTTCTAGGCATGGGGAAAAACGGGTACGAAGCAGCACTGGACCATGCTTCAACATCAACCAAACCATCCATGTTACCAAAGTGGCGCTAGATCAGGGAAAACTATTGGTGGCTCACAAGAAGTATGTGAAGTTTCAACTCCCTTATTGACATCTAGTTGTGATCCACTTACCGACTCTTAAGCTTTTTCTGACATTTTGTATGTGTGTATCATCATTGAAGATATTTTCAGGATCAAGAAATCAAATGTTTCCTACAAAACATACAACAAAATTTCCTGTTGACACCAAAATAAGCAAACTGAACATTTTTGTAGGTCCGTACTTTTCTGTTCGTTTTTTTCTTTGTTGAAATATGTGTGCTTCAGATAAGCGGCATGACACTATCATTCTGCCAATTTTTGGTGTTGTTGAACCATTTCACATCTCTATGATCAAGGTGCGCTTCTTATTTGCTACTTTTCCAAAGCTTGCTACTTTTATTTGCTACTTTTCTTTTCTTTTCTTTCTACTTTTCGTAAAGTGTTTATTTTAAGAATTGCTCACAATCTGTGGAAGGCGATTTAACCTATTTTACCCGTATAAACCTTGCCCATTCCGGCTCTCAGATTGGAAAAGAAACTGCAAAATTCCCAAATCCATTGGCTACTTACTTCAAAGAACTCACATACAGTTTTGGCGTTGATTTTTATCTTTTCCACTTCCACCTGTTGAACTAAAAACCTTTGTTAGGGCAAGTAATGTCAACGAGCACGGAGAAGCTTTGACAACCGCATTGTTTTATTTTTGGCGAGCCGCTGTCGCGTACCCTGGATCCACCCTCGAGTGGGCTTCTCCCTACCTCAGTTGATTTTGTCTCTGCAGAACCAAGTCAGCTACTGGCTGCTTACACTTCATCAACTGCAACATAATCGATATGAAACGGGCTCTATGATCTTGCATTTGACTTTGGTGACGGTGCGTTGTTCAATTATTTTAGTTGATTGCAATGGCATCTCACATGAGAACATCTTGATAATTTGAGTTCTCTAGATGTTGTATCTGGATCCCGCATTACGCGTATATTCTCAAATCCAACAATGCTTTTGACCATCACCATCACCGCAGGCGATGACAGGAAAATTCGTTACTTTGGCAACTTACTTTCGCTCAGGTAAACCATTCAGCTTTTCTTTTCATCTTTTCATCTTCATATTCATTTTCACCTTCATCTTTTCATTCCTTAAGGGAACGGCCATAGGTTATCGGCAACGGTTGTCGAGGTTGCTGGGATTGCCGACGTTGCTGGGGCTGCCGAGGTTGCCGCGTTGGCGGTTGTTGTAGGACCACATGATAGCCTCCACCTTTCGCGCGCTCACTAAGCTGTCTCTGACCCGGGCAACGCTGGCAACGTCGGCAACCCCAGTAACCTTGGAAACATCGGTAACCGTTCCCTAAGCTACATTTTCATTCAGATATTCTAATGCTAGTGATAAAGAGGCACCGCCTGAGGAACGCTTTCATGAACTCGGTGACGTGAGCTGCTTGAAAGGTATGTGGATAGTTCAAAGGAATTCTTTTTGCCATAGGTCAGTGGTGAAGTCTGACAATGTCATAGAACATACTTACAAATCTTTTTTTACATCAACTAGGTTTTCTTAAAGTTGAGCTGATTATGCTAATTTCGGTCAACGAATATTTTCAGTTCTTTTTAGGATGGATCGTGGGGCGTGCATATTCGACAAAAAACGAAGTGGGGGAGGTGAGGGTGGGAGGGCGGGCCTCTCTTTTTTGGAAAGAGCACAGATGCTGGACTATTGCTTGAAACCCTCAACCAGCTGCACTCTTACGATTCACAATTTTTTTTCTTGAAAAACTGCTGCGCTTTGGTTGTGTTTGTTTTTTAGTTGTGTTTTGCTAATAAATTTTTTGTAATGTAAAAATGTACACAGAAAAGAAAGGGGCAGAGGTGGGGGAGGGGGGAGGGGGGAAGAAGGGGGGTCGTATTTTAGCGTGGGGAGGGGGGGGGGTCGTATTTGGCGACCTTGCGCCTGATCTCTTGCTCAACCCTGGTTATAAGTGTTTAAATGTGCGATTTTTCAAGTGTTCTATGGCACATGTTCCTACGAAATACGTTTTAAAAACACTTTTTTAGGTTGTTGGTAAATGTGCTTCATGTAATTAAATCAACCATAACCAATGTAAATCCGCGCTATCAGGCTGCCTTTGAAGGAAATGCATCCGTCGAAACGGCTAATTTCTTATAATTGAACGCTCATAACTCCGCTCAGATAGTCTCTTGGCAGATGATGAAGATTTATTTGAAGTCAGCGTTTTAAGACGAATCGATAAACAACTTGTTTGGAAGGCTGGGTTAAGTTCTGACCATTTTTTCGTAAGAATTTTTCAAAAGCATTCCTTTGTTTTTGCGAAAATCTCAAATCGGGAAGCATTATATTGCAGAAGATGCACTTTTCTCGGTAATGAGACTGCAAGCAAACTGTGGTCTCGCTGGTATAAAACTCAGAAACTTTTGAGGACTCCTTTATAAGCATCTCTTTGCTTTTGCGAAAATTTTTAACTGAGAATTGTTTATATTGTAGAAGATGCACCTCTTCTCGAAGAAGACCCTATAAGCAGACGTGGTCTCGCTGGCATAAATTCAGAACTTTAAAGAGCTAACAAGTGAAAGGCCGTCCATCGAAGTGAGGGTTTCCACACATGATGCATATCATTCTACTGCTCTTGGAGCCCCAATGCCAAATTCGTGATCCTTAGCTGCTCAATGATTTTCTGGAAAAACTTATGCGCGATCGTTTACCCAGGATGCGGCTATGGTTGCTTTGAGTTTGCGGCGTCAAGGATATGCAGAATGGACGGATGGCCAAAGTATAGCTGGGGAGACTAGAGCTGCGAGCAAGTGGCAAAAAAGGCATCCCCTCTGCAGACGCTATTTTTGCATTTTTGCAAATTCTTTAACGTGTATGCAGAAGGTCTCTAAGGCAAGGAAACGCTTATAGCAACTTAATTACATCAAATTTTGGTGATAATCGAAAGATTGTGCAGAGTTCTGAATTGAGCGATGTTGGTAGATCAGGTGGATCAAAAACATGTAAAACAGGTATAATCGATATAGGTACCTGATGAGAAGCTTATTCATCATTTGCAGTCATGTTTTCGCCGCAAATGGTAGTGAATTACCTAGCGAGAGAGTTCGGTCCATGCGAAGTTCTGCACAAACCGACTCGAAAAGGGGCAAAAGCTCTTAGAGAGGTTTTCCTCAATCTTACGAGAAGCGATGTACGACAATGTCGAAGTAGACTGGAAAGAAGATGAAGTTCTGGATGACCGAAGCGAAGCGGACCCACTTTGGGAAGGAGAAGGTGATGAGAACTTACCACCATTAGGTTTTGGACCAGTTCGCTTTGGGAACGTCCAAGTTTTAGAAGAAATGGTCTTATGTTATGCTTAAATTGTTTTCCCAATATTGAAAAGGTAGTTTCTATATAAGCAAAGCAATTACATTTTATCACGCTACTGGAAGGGGTCACCGCTTTTGGTCAAGTATGCGGAGGCATTTCCGCTTCATCACTTCTCCATACCACCTCATAAAATTTAGGAAACTTGAGAAAGAACGTGAGTGCTCCTTTTATAAAATTGTCGTGGTTCTAAACAAAAGCGAATTAGTCCAAAAGTTGAGAAATCAAAAATAAGGCATAGTACGAATTATGTCGTTCCGATTGTAAGGCAGTTCGTCAAGGCGGCAGTTTGCCTTGAGCATTAATGAAGAGGAAGTCCACATTGCAGGATTTAAAGCCAGTCATCACTGGCTCAAGGATTTCAAAAGGTTCAGTGGCATCGTATTATGGCGTGTCACTACCTTCACTCAAAAAAATTACCTGGACCGTGATAAAATAAATGACGCCGCTCAGGCTCTAAAGAAAAAAGAAATTCGAAATTAAAATTAAATTCTCGAAATTAAAAAAGGTTCATCTGTATCACCTGTATCCCCGTTGATCATCGTGTTGCACGAGCGGGTACCAGTGATGCCTCCATTCGTCCCTGTCTCGGGCGATTGTTGACCAATGTTTACGTATCGCACCAGGAACACGTGGAACGCTCTGAAGGACTTCATTAAAGGACTTCGTGAACTTATCTGACCATCGCGTCGGCGGTCTTCCTCGTTCGCGTTTGATGTCCAGTAGTATCCAATCTGTTACAGCTCTCGTTCACCGGTTGTCGTCGAAACGCATTACGTGCCCGGCCCATCTTATCTTGTTCTGCTTGGCGTACGCGGCAGCGTCCCTGATCTCCGATCGTTGACGTAGGGTAGAACTTCGTAATCCTTGCCTCACTTGCGTGAGTCGATTCACTCCTAGCATCACTCTCTCAACAGCTCGTTCGATGACGCTAACCGCGTGTTCATCCTGCTTTCTCATTGTTCATGTTTCTGAAGCGTACGTCAAAGCAGGAAGAACCGTCGAGTTGAAAAGGTGGGCGCGGAGCCGGATGTTCTTGGTCTTCTTCACTACGTCCTCAATTGTCTTATATGCTCCCCATGCTGCACGTTTCCTCCTGCTCAGTTCCGGAGCTAGATCGTTCATCATATTGAGTTCACGACCTAGGTAGGTGTAGCTTGAGCATTCGGTGATGTTCGTCCCGTTGAGCATGAAAGGAGCATCATGCACTCTTCCGTTCCTCATGAACATCGTCTTCGTTAGATTCAGCCGTAGACCGATCTTTCCACACACTTCGTCAAACTGGGCCAGCATTTGTTCCGCCTGCGTGATGCTTGGTGTTATCAATACGATGTCATCAGCAAAGCGAAGGTGGTGTAGCTTCCGGCCGTCGACTTTCACTCCCATGTTGTCCCATTCCAACTTACGCATGACGTTCTCCAGAGCGGCACTGAATAGTTTCGGCGATATAGTATCGCCTTGTCGCACGCCTCTCTTCACGTCAATGAATGATGATGTCCTTGTAGAATGGTGTTATGGTGGTTGTGAAGTCGTTATACAGCTCACGAATTATCTTGATGTAATAAGTCGGAATACCTTGATTGCTCAAGGCATTGATGACGGCTTCAGTCTCAACCGAGTCAAAGGCCTTCTTCAAGTCGATGAAGGTGAGACAGAGCGGCATCTTATACTCTCGTGACACTTCAATGAGCCTTGACACCGTGTGTATGTGGTCGATCGTGCTGAATCCTCTTCGAAACCCAGCTTGCTCGCATGGTTGTCCTTCGTCCAACTCTCTTCCGATCCTGTTGAGAATGACTCGCGTAAAGAGTTTGTAGACTACAGACAACAAGCAGATAGGGCGATAATTGCCGATGTCGCAGGGATCTCCCTTCTTGTACAGCAACACGGTTTTGCTGGTCTTCCATTGCCTTGGAACCTTGCCTTCCGTCAGGTACCGCGTGAAGAGCCTTGCCAAAGTCTTGATGAGAACTGGCGAAAGATTCTTCAGATGTTCTGGCTTAATCTCCTGTCGGGACCGGGTGCTGTACGGTTTTTCATCGACATGATAGCATGTCGAATCTCGGAAGGAAGAACAGACGGTGCAACATACTCGTCCTCCTTGAGATGGCATGGTGGAAGGTGGACGTGGCTCGCAAAAAGATCCGAGTAGAAGTCGTGGATGACCTTCTCCATTGATCTTGGAAAGCAGTTATGGTTCCGTCAGGACGACGAAGTGCGGTCATCTTTGTCTTGAAGTTGACGAAGCTTCGGCGGGCGTTGCGTATACTTCTTCCAGCCTCCGCGGCGTCAACCATCACTGCTACTCTTCTCTCTTTAAGGTCTTCTTTTATCGCTTCTCTGCATCGCTTCGCAAGCTCGGACGTCAGTCGGTAGTTGCCTGTGGCTCGTGCGCGTCCACGTTGGCGTATCAGCTCCAAAGTCCCCGTGGTGAGACGCCTTCTCGTACTTCTTAGACTCTGAGCTTCCTTGGCACAACCGTGGAGATGTTGTACGAACCGTTCGTATTCTTCGTCGATGTTGTCCATCACGGTATCTCGCCATGAGCCGGATATCGAAGAAAACAGATCCCAGTTGGTGGTATTCATGGGACGATGTTTCCTGAACTTGACGGCTCTCTCTCCATTCCGCGGAAAGTAGAATTTGGCGCGCAGGAGACGATGGTCTGATCCCGTGTAGAACTTCGGAACAACAGCGACGTCCGTCAGGCAGTACCTTCTGTTGACGATGATGTGGTCAATCTCGTTATGGTACTCTCCACCGGGCGATTCCCTTCGCGTTGAAATCACCGACGATGATCTTGTAGAAGGTATGATCTTCTCTGTAGAACTTCTCCAAGTCCATATAAAATTCCTCGAGTTCGTCCTCGTCGTAGCTGGATGTTGGGGCGTACGCAATGAAGACGGTCAAGGCAGGGATTGATCCACATCTTGATATTCGCAAACGTCCGATTCGAGTTGTAAGTTGTTCGAACGAATCGATGTTCATGGCCAAACTCGTGTTGACAAGGACTCCCACTCCACCTACTCCTCGACTGTCGCATGTTCCTACAAACAGTTCTTCTCCAGTCTCAAATGTGGCGTTCAGCGGGTGGTGCCTCCTTGTCTCGGTCAGTCCGATGACGTCGTACTTAATCTTCCTTGCTTGCATCATGAGATCTTCGATAGATGCGTCCGATGCCAGCGTCCTCGCGTTGTAAGTACAGATCGTCATCATAGTCCGTCTCGTTTTCGGCAGCCTAGATCGCCTTTCAAACCTTGTCCCCACTGGCGCTGCCTTACCAATGGCTCTTCCAAGATTAAAGGAGCTTTCCATATTATCACTGTGTCGAACAAGAATTTACTCG